ACAGCGCCCGGGTATCACTGCCCGGGGCCCGCCCCCGGCCGCTCCACAGCGCCCGGGTATCACTGCCCAGGGCCCGCCCCCGGCCGCACCCCAGCACCCGAGTATCACTGCCCAGGGACCGCTCCCAGCCGCCCCACAGCGCCCGAGTACCACACCCAGGGCCCGCCCCTGGCCGCCCCACAGCGCCCGAGTACCACACCCAGAGCCCGCCTCCGGCCGCTCCACAGCACCCGAGTACCACACCCAGGGACTGCCCCCCGGCCGCCCCCCAGCGCCCGAGTACCACACCAGGGCCCGACCCAGCCATGCCCATCACTGCCTGGGGCCCGCCCCTGCCCGCACCCCAGTGTCTGCTGCTGTCACAGAGGGATGGCAATGCTATGCTTGCAGCCATTCCACTCTCTTGAAAGGCCGGGCTGGCTGCAGGTGGGGTTCAGATGCGAGTCCCCCCGGGGCAGAGCTCCCTACCTGAGGGCGCGACGGACGTGCCAAGTCTCTGTGTTTTTCTGCAGGCTGCAGCTGTCGCTGAAGCACTCGGACGTCGGCCCTTTCTCCGTGAGTTCTCCTCAAAGGGACTTCACACCAGAAGTCACCCAGGCTCTGCTTGGAGGAGCTGCTGGCCTTGATTCACACCCCTGGGTGTGCAGCCAAAGGAGGGCGGGAGATGGCGCCCCACTGCCTCCATTCTGTGGGGGTGCCACCGGGGCTCAAGAGAAGCTGCAGCACTGGGGTCTTCTCATCTCCCAGGACTCAACTTCCACAGGCCCATCCCTTCCTCCTCCTTGTGTCTACACTGCACACTAAGCCCAGGCTGGGACTCAGGTGTCAGCCCCCCTTCCAGCAGCAAGCACTCAGGACCCGGGTCCTGGGACCCTGCTAGGGGACTGGGTCCCCTTCTGGGACCCCTCAGGGGCTCGGGTCAAAGCCCTGTCATTTTGCAGTGTGGCTGGAGGTCAAGCTGCAGCCTGAGTCAGACGGTCTGCGTGGTGCAGTGTGGACGCACCAGTCCACCTGGGAGACCCAGGTGGAGCAATTCTAAGCCCAGGTTTGCACTGCAGTGCGGTTGCTCAGGGAAACACTGAGTCCACCTGCCCAGGTCCCCCAGAGCCAGGCTCAGGGTGCGGTGCAGACATGCTGCCTGAGACACGGAGCCTGTACACCCCCTGTGCCTGCCTGTGGGACCTGGGACGATGCTCCCCCAGCCCCGGGGGTTGCAGTCTGTGGGACTTGGTTAGTTTCCAGGACGGCCCCTGTGTTTTGTCTCCTTGGTTCAAGCAGATTCTTACCTGAGTGCCTGGTCCCCTGGCACACAGCCACCCCCCTCCCATTGCCTCCCCTGCTGCCAGCTGCAGAGGGTTACGACTCTTCATTGCATCCCCAGGTGCAGCTGCTGCAGGCGCTCATGAACTTCTATGGCTCAAGCATCCTGATCCCACGCATCAACGGTGAGGGGCTGGGGGGTCCCAGGGTATCTGCATCAGACCAGAGCCCTGACACCCACTGATCAGCAGTGGGTAGAGCTGCTGCGGGCAGAGGAGATCTAGATCCCAGACCTGCCACCAGCGTCCTGGGGCCCACTGCACACACAGGGTGGGTGGCTGGAGAGAGTCCATCTCGGAGCGGTGACACGCAGAGAAGAGAACACACTGGAAAGAATGTGCCTGACGGCGCCCGTCTTAATGCCTTCCAGATCCCGTCTCCCTAACGCGCTGCGTCTCGTGCTGCAGCTCGCAGGGACCGGCTCCTGTGTGCGTGTGCAGGGGCAGAGCGGCACGCGAGACGTCTCCCCGCTTGTGCAGCTGCTGGGGGAGCTCCTGGCTCCTCCCCCAGGGAGCAGGGTGCTAACAAGGGGAGGGCGGGGTGGGTGCGAGTCGATGGTGCCCGGTTCGCTGCACAACCCCACAGCGACTCGCATTGTTCTGCCCCACCATTGCTCTCATGAGTGGTTTATTTTGCAGCGAGACTCAAGGAGGGCTTCCCTCTCCCACTGCCGGCTCGTGTCCAGCTCTCCAGCCTCGTCATCCAGCCCCACCAGGTCAGTGAACACAGTCCTCTGTGCTGGGCAAAGGGGCAACAAATAATGCCAGCAGCAGGCCGGATCAGAGTGAGGAGCCGGGCCCGGAACAAGCACCACTGGATACCTTAGTACAGGGCCAGGGAGGGGCAGGGGAAGGCGAGGTGGCCTACTAAACCCTTTTCATGGCTAGTGGAGCTCTTGCCGGGGGGAGTAGGGTGGGAGAGGGAAGGAAGGGGTCTCTGCGCTGACACACAGGTTGGTGGAAGCGCGGTGAGGAGGAGAAGTGCCGTTCACAGGCAGGGGAACAGGCAGGAGTCGGTGCTAGCTGGCAGGGAGGAGCTGGTCTGTACTAAGGGAGGAGAATGAGGAGAAGATCACTAGTCAGTGTCAGGGGTCCAGCCACACACAGACTCCATGGGAGCCCAGGTTCATATAAAACCCTCTGTCTACCCAAGGTACATCCCTGGATTTCCTGGGGATTCACTGGGCATGGGCGGACGGGGGGTAGGACGTGTCTCTCAGACAAGAACTTAGGAACTGAGCTGGTCTCGGCCCTGAGCGTCAGGGTCCAGATTTTCACAACTGCACAAGTACAGTTGCACACCAATCCCAGAACTGCACGTTCAGAGTCAGCGTGCAAATGTACATGTGGTTTTGTGTTTTCTGAAAATCTGGTCTTAACTTTCACATGGCTCTTTTTATAAAGAGCAGACATTTGCTGTGATTTTTGACCCTAAATTCCCACCATCTCCACCACCACTAACACACCCAGTCTTGCGATGGGCTATGTGTGGGTTTTCTACTGGGTCGCATCCTTCCCTGTCCCCTCCCCCCCTCACGTTAGCAGTGGCTGCCTTTGTACGCACGTAGACGGCTCAAGCCAATGCACACTGAAATCAGTGCAGAGTCCTGTTCATTTCAACGGGGCTTGGCTCGAGCCCAGCCTTTGTGAGGCAGCGTGAGAGGAACTAAAGAAACGTAACGTGTTAAGGACTGAGTCCGTTGGGTGTTGGCCAGGCACGTTTGTAAAGCCAAAGCAAAGCAACATGAGAACGTCGATGCCTGTGACTACTGCAGCACATCCAGCCTAGCGCCAATGACAGAAACAGAGAAACAGCTGTTCACACAATGCTGAACAAATATAAAGTTGGGAACAATAGCTGGGGAGAAACATGGATTTCCCTCTGATGTGGAGCCAACTCACACGCTACATGCCCTGCGGCGTGCACCATACGCACGTGCTCACCGGCTTGCTGCTCTAATTAGAGTACATATTCCCTGATTAAAGCGAGCCCTGCATTCACCTAATGCAGGTGGGCTCTGCTGTTCTGTGACCAAAGGCAAGGCTTTGCCACTGGGTTACATCCTGATCTCTTTCCTAGAACTTCCTGCTGTTTGGAGCAGACGTTCGTTACGTGTAGAGAGGCCGAGGACGACGCTGAAAGAAATGACCGATATGAAAAGACAACGTTCCTCTTTCCCCTGAGCAGCACCTGGCCTTGTGAATGGATAGCAGGTGCCCAACTTTCCTCTTGGCCTGCGCCGCACCCATCCTCACGCCCAGAGAGGGCTCCAGATTCTCTCCTTCCCCCTGCAATTCACTGCTACCAAAGCTGTTTGTCCAGGAGTAAAAAACATGTGATTTGTCTCCAAAGAAATTCCTCCCCTGCCTGTCTCGGTCTGGATCACTGGGCACTGGATAGACAGAGGAGCAGCACGTGCATTTGAACAAAAAAAAAACCAAGCAAACGAGCTTCCCTTCCACAGCCTTTGATACTAGGAAACCGTTCTGGTATGTGCTGCTCTCCAGCGCCCAGGAAAGATGCCCATTGGCTGCCCTGGGAGTTGGCCCCTGCCCTGAACCAGTCAGTGGATTTATTAACACACTTGGGGTGAAGTTCTAATCCGCGTTAATGAGCAGTTGTGCCCATCACCCTGCGTAGCAGACTGGTTGTGCCAGGTGGAGTGTGGCCTGGGGAGCCGCTCACAATAGAACCTGAGAATGGGCGTTCAGAAGGAACGTGGCCATTGATTGTGCAGAGCAATTCACGGTGGTGCAGAAGAGACCAGAAATGAACAAAAGCCAGGGGGTGAGGCCTGATTAGCAGGGAGCTGAGAGCCACACGCACCAGGCCCCGGCTGTCAGTCTTCATCTGGGCCCTGGCCCTAGTTTTGTTAAGTGTTGTGTGCCACTGAAAATACCCACGCACCCTACTGGGACGTTAGCATCTAAGCTGGGGGATCCTCCACCTTTCCCCCAGTGAGCAGACATGGTCTCGTGGTCGTGGCCCACGGCCCCTCACACTCGCCGTGCTGGGTCGTCTCTGGGGTAGCTATGGCAATTGCTTTCATGGATCAGTAACGTGGCAGCATTTCCTGTATCTGCTTCTGTCTCTTTAATGCAGTGTAGCAGCTAGCAATGAAGGGGGGCGGGGGACGGAGAACCAGCACCATGTGACCTGCCAACTCGCTGCACATTTTATAATGATGAGAAAACTCTGGAAAAAAGGCACATTGGAATTGTGGGTTCCTCAGAACAGGGCTCCCGGTCCCGCATCTCCCCCGATCCACTTTTCACTCTGACCAGCTGTAACCTATTTATTCACACTGCAGCGTGCTCCAGTGGAAAGTATGTTAGAAAGAGGAACACGTTGTATTATGCTGTTGGCAAATAAAACACTCTGATAAAGGCAGACGTTGCGGAAGGTTTTTTCATCTATTTCTGTGGCCCGTCAGCAGAATGTTTACTCAGAGGAAGTACCTGACATAACAATACTACTTTGCACGCACATGCCTCTCATAAACAGCTCTCCAGCGTTTGCGTGTAACACACTAGCCAACTAGGACATTTTCCATTGCCTTCGGTGGACTTTGCGTCAGGTCCAGAATGGCTTTTCGCCAAGCATTTGAAAGCTCCATTACACACAGTAATGAGATGGCTGAAAAAATTCTGTAAAAAAACATTTTTTTCCAATGAAAAACACGTTTTTGATATCCTGGAAATTTTGGGGGGAAAACTATGAAATCCAAGAAATTTTCTCTTTTCAGTAACGAAAAACCAAGTGCATTTATTAATTTATTTATTGTTTAAAATGAAAAATTTTGATTATCAGGTTTTCAACAAAAACTAAAAAAAATTAAGACTTTTATGAGAAGAAAAACAACAAAAATCATTTTATTCAGAATTCTTCAAGGGAGAGGTGAATAATTGTCCAAGCAGCACGACTGATTAATAAGGTCTGGGGGGTAGGCAGCCATCGTACATGTGAGTAAACTGAGGCAAGTGGCGGTTAAGTCACATGCTCGGTTTTATAGCAGAGCCAAAAATCAAACACAGGAGTCCTGACTCTCAGGTCCCTCCCCTACCTGCCAGGTGACACACAAATCTGTATGAAATACTAACCACTTATTCACTGGATATTTTTTCTTTAGTAGTTCGAACGCAGATTAACTTTCCCACCCACTGCTGGACTCTGGTGTTACGTAGGTCGCTCAGAGCAGTCCTGAGGCAGTAACTTCTGTCTGAGAGTCTCTTGAGGTGGGTAGTGACTGATTTCCCCAGCCCTGTTCTGTAATTCTCGGAGAGGATAGATTCAGGCAGCTGTTGGCGTAGGCAATGCTGGAGACCAGGGCCCTGTCTGCCCACAAAGAAGCCATGCTGGTCCTGCAGGGCTTGAGGGAGGTTTGCCTGGCAGCAGGGCCGCCGGGGGGGGGGAGGGGGGCAAATGGAGCAATTTGCCCCTGGCCCCACAGGGGCCCCCACGAGAATATAGTATTCAATAGTATTGCAACTTTTTTTTATGGAAGGGGCCCCCAAAATTGCTTTGCCCCAGGCCCCCTGAATCCTCTGGGCAGCCCTGCCTGGCAGGTGGTGATGAAGGTGGGCACGGCTGGGGTGTCAGAGGCACGAAAAAGCCGACAGCAGGGCGAGCAGAACTTGCTGTTGGAATGTCAGGCCCCCATGTGACAGGCAGCGTGATGGTTTCCGGAGCTGCTGTCCAGGCAGCACCCAGTGATTAGAGGCAGGTTTCTGAGACCCAGTTCGCTGGTGGTGGAATTTAGACCATTGGCTCTTGAGACAGGTGCTGTGGAGCTGGGTGAGGCGTGAACCCTGTGGAGGTCTGTATCTGAAACACGGCAACGTCCCCCACTGGCCCCACACTCCGATTCTCTGGCCCAGCTGCTGCGTGCTCCGGGACACCCCCAGACTTGTGGAAGCAATGGAGTCTGTGTGGGGGGCTCAGTCTCTCTGGGAAGAGGCACCGAGGGCACCGGGGCAAGTGCTTGTGGATGGCACATCAACGAAGGGGAGCTGAGGAGCATGGGAACTAGTCACAGCAGGAGGCAGGCCGGCCGCTGGTTCCAGTCCCCACTCGGTTTCTGTACTGCCCCAGCCCAGTCCATGGGGATTGCTGTGAGCAGCAACACGCGGAAATACAAGCGGGAGACAAAGGCAAAGCTGTGCACTCGGCCAAACAGCCACTAGCCTGGGCAGAGAGCTGCAGGGGAGAGAGGCAAACCAGGGCCGGCTCCAGGCACCAGCTTCTCAAGCAGGTGCTTGGGGCGGCCGCTCCGGAGAGGGGCGGCACGTCCAGGTATTCAGTGGCAATTTAGCAGACGGTCCCTCACTCCCCCTTGGAGCGAAGGACCTCCCGCCGAATCGCGATTGCGGGTTTTTTGGTTGTTTGTTTGCTTTTTGGTTTTTTTGTTTTGTTTTGGCTTCCTGGGGGCGGCCAAAACCCTGGAGCCGGCCCTGGGGCAAACACAGCAATTGGCAACTGCCAGGGTCAGGAACCAAATGGTGCCCCCCTGGCTGCTTTCGCCTTGACTCCATGATCCAGATAACAGTCCCATTTCCAGCCAGACCTGCTGGGGAGGAGACCCTCTGGGCACCAAGACGGTGATACCAGGCGCAGAGCCGGTAGAAGAGGGACGGTGGAGCTACAAAGCAGGGAGGTGCCCTGAACGCTCCGCCCCCTGCTCCTCCCCCTCCCCTGCTTCCCGCGAATCAAATATTTGCGGGAAGCCTGAAACAGGGAGGCAGCAGGTAAGCTGGGGCTGGGGCAGGGTGTGGTGCGGCCGAGCGGCTCCCTCTGGCGGCCGTCCGGCCAGCCCAGGCCAAGAGGTCTGGCCCCGGCGTCTCCCGCCCGGCTCGGTTTGGGCCCTGGGGCGCTGGCCTCCGGCCCAGCCCCCGGCCGAGTACTGCCGTCCCTGTCCTCGGCCGAGCACCGCTGTCCCCGTCCCTGTCCCAGCCCCGGCCGAGCACTGCCGG